GTTTCCTGACAGTTCTGGCGGCCAGTCTTAGTTTGTTTAGCTAGAAGCATTTGCCGAAAAAACTGGCGGTAGCAACAAAAACTGCGGGGACCATGCAAAAAACGCATCTTCGCACAGGCAGCCCGTGCGTTGGCCAATTATTGCTGCCTGTTGCAGCGCTCTAGCGCTGCACGGCAAAAACGCATAAAAAGGAACTTCAGTACAAGAATAAAGCAACAACCGTTCTTGCTGTTAACAATCTGATTGTTTTAAGTGTGATGCAAAAGCAAATGATCGCGCGACACATATGATGCATCGTAACCTAGGTATGGGAGCAGAATTCCTTTACGCATTTTTGCACAAAGCCGTTGCTTTTTTTTTCACATCTCTGTTAATTTGTGCAGTAGCTGTATGATTTAAACAGCTCGCGGCTGCTCCGGACATTGACAGTTTTGTTACACTGTCAGTTTCGGAACATCTGAATTACTGGTTTGACTTTTATCTCACGTGCTGTCACATCTTTGATATCTGGGTCTTTAGTCATTTTCACAATGTGATCTTTTAGAAATGGAAACGATTTAAGGGTGCAGTATTTGAGGAGAATAAAACAGGACGAGCCCGCCTGGAGCTGTACACTTCGGATTCGCAGGTTGCCGCTTTGACGCCAGCGAAAAGTATACTTCTTACAGACTGTCTTGCCATTCGCATTGTCTATTTCCGGAACACCATTAGCAGTAAGTTTTCACTGAATTCATTTCGTGGACCGTTTGAGATCATAGGCTACGGAATTCCGATTGCAACTTATTTGTGCGCTTTTGTACCATCTCAGAAAGGCACATTTGCCAATTCAGGTATGAGCTCAGAGGTTTTAGCTTCGTAACAGACCTCGCCTGTGCTTCAGTGAAATCAATAAATAGCAATTTTTTTTGTTTGATTGCGCTCCTGTCATAATTAAGGAAAAGGCAGTAATCTTTTCTTAATTGCTCTGAATAATTTTTTTTTTGATGCTGCAGGCGACAATCGTATCATTCAAATTCAGCAGAAAAATGCTCCAGTTTTGTTAATAGCTGTAGAAGATGTTGAAGATTGGCACTACGTTCTGTGCAAAGTGGCATTCCCCGATCAGGTTTATTTCTTCATCACGCACGTAATTCATCTAGTCCATCGGTGCTGAGTGTTGTAGAGACGCAAGCCGTCAGTTGCAACTCTATCGCTGTCTTGTACTTTGGTCCCTTTTTTTCCACTTATTACTTAATTTCCAACTCACATTTAACAACACTGTGGCTTACAGATGCCAAAAAAAAAAGACTCAGATTACATTTATTTTATGATGCTACTTACATTTAGTAAGAGTATTCTCATCTTCCACTCCTCTTGCTTCCATTTGCCACACGAAAGCGAACCAGTATGGTGTCTCTGCTACTGATAACCTACTATATAACAACAAGACAGTTGAGAACTAAAGAGAGATTTTCAGTGTAAATTCCATGCAAGCCAGTAACATTTACCACCTAAATTCCACAGTTTATAGAAATTGAAAGTTTTTGCTCTTTTTATTTTTGAGCAGTTATCACCATGTACAAATTTTCTAGTGGACATCAACGTCGCATTTTCAGTTCGCTTCGATTGGCACACAGCCCTGCTCATCGCTGTCAGCAGATTCGAATGACGAATACGACGTTCCTTGGGACTGTGATTTTTTTCTAAATTTTTTTAAGAAAACCCAGTTCATTTTGTTTTCCCAAATTCATTGACGTTATTAGAATTTTTTACAAAACAGGACGCCTTTGGTAGGCATTTTTCCCCCTCCACCGTTTTTGAAAGGGCTAAATGAGCAAATAGTCTTGTTGCCGCTTTATAACAAAAAAATTGTTTGTTATAAAAGTGAAACTAAAAATCTAAGAATTTTAAATGGTTATCAGAAAAAGGAATGAAAAATTCATTCAGTTTACTTTGGAGAAGCTGAAAGGCCTTGCATTTTCACCACTCTCTCTTCCTTAATACGTCACTCCGTAAACTGACTTCAGTGATTATCATCCTCCACGCTTTTCTCAAACAATAATTTGTTGCCGTTTTAATCTTCTTTTAATTTTTCGATCTATTATTTTTTTAGTAAACCAGATTCCGGTTCTTTTGGAAAACAATAAAAGCATTCGCCGCACAAAAATTCCGGAAGGCAACTACGAAATCAGCTTTGGGGAATCGATATTTTTGAAGGATGGCATTCAGTGCATTGAAACTTGGTCTTACCCACAAATTACCTGGTTAGTTTGTTAACTTTTGCCTGGCAAATGAATTGAAACACACGCGCACGCGAATGATAATACCCAGGCTGGAACGCATCAGGCGAGCCGGTGCGATCATGCGTTTTTGCACCAAACTTGAAATAATTAGGTTAACTGCATGAACGGTTGTTTCTTCACCCCTGCCTTGTACGCTCAACGCCGTAAATCATCGTAAATTTTGCATAAAAGGAAATAAACAATTCCCTTTAGCGGTCATTTTTATGCGTTTTTGCATATATGTAAATTGCAAAAACGCATATTGGGAAGAGGCTGTGTGTGTGTTTGTGTGTTTGTGTGTCTGCGTCTGTGTGTTCGCACTTTTTGTCACCCACTTTCAACTCGAAACCCAGAAAAGCTAGAAAGCTGAAACTTTGGGGGTTTGTGCCCATACCATGTGCGACCCTCCCGTTTTAATTTCATCCCCTGCGGGCGCCTAGGTAGCGCGTACGGACGCTTTAAAAAAATATGCAAATTTTTTGGCGCGAAAGCGATCTCGGGAACCACATGAGCTAAGGGGCTGAAATTTCGTAGGAATATTCCCCGTGCATGAACTAAAAAGATTTCAAATTCAGCCCCCAGGTATGCGTGGTACTCACGCAAGAGCGCTTGAAAGTTTTAGAG